TGCTCTAATATTGAAGTATGCTTTCATTTATTCCCTACTTTTGCTTTGATAGCTGATCGAGAGAACAAAAGTGTTGGTTGTTGTGATTCGGTCGCGTTGTGTTGACCTGAATGTTGAAGGGTCGAGATGACTGGATCATCTTACACCACTTCTGGGAGAGATGTTCGGGTCTTTTATAAACGAGGACTAGAAAGTTGAAGTGTCTGTCTTTTGTCAAAGATGACTGAATCAATTGAATTTCATGCCTTGGGTTTACTCATGATGACACCAAGGGCTTTTTGACAGAATGAAAACCCGGAGTGTAAGGACCATGAATTTTGATACTAGTTAAAATGATTTTTCGGTATTTTAAAATATTTAATTATTATTTTTTAAAAAGAGTATTTGTATTTTTCTCGGTTTTCTATAATTTTCTATGATTTAAAATTTTGATTATATATTTATTTAAAGGATTTTGTTATTTATAAATTTATTTTGTGCAGTAAAATTTTCTAGAATTAAATTGTTACGTTACCGGTACTATTACGTATTATTTTAAATAATATGTTGTATTTTTAATATTATTATGTATTATTTCGTATAATACTTTGTATTATTAATCACGTATTTTTGTATATAATTTATTGTATTATTTCTATTGTTACATATTATCTATCGTATTAGTATAACTTGTACGTTTTACTGTATAGATAATTATCCCATAATTATCTGATTTTAAATGTAAGTAAATATATTTTTATTATTAATTATTCTTGTTTAATTATACAATATGGGTATTTTTCAACTATTTCGTATCAAATATTGTATTAGCTCAACATGTACGTTTTTAATTGTAGATAATTATTATGTAATTAGTTTAATTTTTAAGTACTCAAAAGTATTTATTTTAATTATTTTAACCTAAACCCTAACCCTAATTACAATTATATATATATTATATGTTTTTCGTTTTCCCTCTACTGTTCATCATCCACGCCGCCTCCTTCTTCTTCTCCCTCTCTCTTTCAACCCGCGAACCCACCACCTCACACCCAGCAACCCGAAACCGCCGCCGCTCGCCCACCAGACCTCCGACCACCGCCCTCGTCGACCGCCTGAGCGCCGCCCGTGGATCCGCCTGCACCACCGCCAAAGCCAGCGCCACCTCCAACAGCCGCACCTCCATCTTCACCACCACCTCTCGCCGCCCTGTTCGCCGCCCCGCCAACGACCAGCAGCCACACCCGAACCCAGCCTCTCCGCCTCCAGCAGCACCGCCTGTTCCTCCTCCGACCAGCCTCCCTGTCCGCCGCCCCCACGAGCTCTCGCCGCCCCACTGCAGCGACGCCCCGCCTCCTCCTCCTCTACTCCTCAGATCCACCCGCGCCGAACCACCACAGCAGCCCCGGAGCCGCGTCGCCGCCTCACGCTCAAACCCCGAGCTTCCGTCAACGCCACCGTGCCGTGCTCAGTCCCAGTCCGCCCCCTCGTCGTCGACGAGTGTCGCCGAGATCCCCGTGCCATCAGAGTCGATACGTTCGACGTACCCGAGGCAAGATCCCGTTACTCAGCTTGTCGATCTTTATGTTTTCAAATCTATTATGAGTTGTCTGTGTAGATTAGTTTGTAATATAATTACCTATGTGGATTGTTTGATGAAGAATATTAAAATATATTATAGTAATATAATAAATAGCATTTTCAAAATAATTATAAAGAATTAAAAGAATTTAGTTCGGTAAAAGAATCATTTTTAGATAATTATAAGGATTTAAAGAAATTTATTTTGAAAAAGAAGTTATTTTTAGATTAGTTATAATGAGAAAAGAATTTTACTAAGAATTTTATTCTGTAAAAATGGATTATTTGAGTTGTTATTATAATAATTGATTCTTAAAAGAATTTATTTTGTGAAAGGATTATTTGAGTTAATATTCATTATTTAAAAAGATTATTGTAGAATAATTATGATGAGAAATAAGTGTTAAGAAATTATTTTGGAAAAGGAATTATTTTCTGAATTACATAGTTGTTGTTTATGATCACATTTCACGTTTTGTATTTATTTAATGTATTTGACATGTTTGCTATAGTGCTATGTATTGTCCATCTTGTGATTGAGAACCATTAGCAGTTCATGACTTAGTGGCCTCGTGCGTCATGAACAGACTTAGTGACATGTGTGAGTGTGTTGACTGAGTTTAGGTGGTGAACCCGAGTTTTAATATGGATTATGTTTGACTTAGAAAATACAAGAGAGTTGGGATGGGGAAGTCCATGTTCATGTGATCGGATAAGACTGTTGATGTATCTTCCAGGCTCGCGATTTTTTAACTATTTTGTATCAAATATTTTATTAGCTCAACATGTACGTTTTTAATTGTAGATAATTATTATGTAATTAGTTTAATTTTTAAGTACTCAAAAGTATTTATTTTAATTATTTTAACCTAAACCCTAACCCTAATTACAATTATATATATATTATATGTTTTTCGTTTTCCCTCTACTGTTCATCATCCACGCCGCCTCCTTCTTCTTCTCCCTCTCTCTTTCAACCCGCGAACCCACCACCTCACACCCAGCAACCCGAAACCGCCGCCGCTCGCCCACCAGACCTCCGACCACCGCCCTCGTCGACCGCCTGAGCGCCGCCCGTGGATCCGCCTGCACCACCGCCAAAGCCAGCGCCACCTCCAACAGCCGCACCTCCATCTTCACCACCACCTCTCGCCGCCCTGTTCGCCGCCCCGCCAACGACCAGCAGCCGCACCCGAACCCAGCCTCTCCGCCTCCAGCAGCACCGCCTATTCCTCCTCCGACCAGCCTCCCTGTCCGCCGCCCCACGAGCTCTCGCCGCCCCACTGCAGCGACGCCCCGCCTCCTCCTCCTCTACTCCTCAGATCCACCCGCGCCGAACCACCACAGCAGCCCCGGAGCTGCGTCGCCGCCTCACGCTCAAACCCCGAGCTTCCGTCAACGCCACCGTGCCGTGCTCAGTCCCAGTCCGCCCCCTCGTCGTCGACGAGTGTCGCCGAGATCCCCGTGCCATCAGAGTCGATACGTTCGACGAAACCCAAGGCAAGATCCCGATCCTTATGTAGTTTCGTTCCAATCATTATATTTGTCATAGATTATTTATATGCAAGATCCCGATCCTCATTTAGTTTTGTTCCTATTCTTATATTTGACGTAGATTATTTATATGCAAGATCCCGATCCTTGTTTAGTTTCGTTCTGGTTCTTATATTTATTGTAGATCATTTATGTGCAAGATCCCGCTCTCCCATTTCGTAGTTTGATTATTTACATTTTTTATGAATTATTTGCATAGTTTAATTGTGACGTATTTATCTGCGTGGGTTGTTTGAGGAACAATATTGATTTACATAATGGATATGTGATAAATAGCATTTTCAGAATAATTATAATGAATTAAAAGAATTTAGTTTGGCAAAAGAATCATTTTTAGATAATTATAATAATTTAAAAGAATTTATTTTGGAAAATGAATTAGTTTAGATTAATTGTTAAGCGAAATAATTTAAAATGAGTTAATTTAGAAAATGATTATTTTCTGATTATGTAGCTGCTGTTTATGATTTATAATTCTTATTTTGATTATTTGATATGCTATGATATTATTGCATATGATTAGTTGCATTGATTGATTGCTCCATGTTGTGATTGAGAATCATTAGGAGTTTATGACTATAGTGACCCGTATGACACAGTTAGGATCTAGAACACCGTGTGTAGTTGACCTGAAATTACGAGAATTGGGATGAGAAGTCTTGGTCCGTGTGAGCGGTTGTGATTGTTGATGTATATTCCGGGCTCGCGCTGGTGAAGTTTGTGTAGTCACCGGGGTGGGTCCGAGGAGTTGTGATATGAGATTGTTGATGTATTTTCCAGGCTCGCGCCAGTGTCTTGTTTCGGCCTGGGGTGGGTCTGAGGTGATGTGATATTGTGATTATTGATTGTTTTCCAGGCTCGCGCCAGTGTCTTGTTTCGGCCTGGGGTGGGTCTGAGGTGATGTGATATTGTGATTATTGATTGTTTTCCAGGCTCGCGCCAGTGTCTTGTTTCGGCCTGGGGTGGGTCTGAGGTGAGGTGATATCGAGATTATTATTTGTTTTCCAGGCTCGCGCCAGCGTCTTGTTTCGGCCTGGGGTGGGTCTGAGGAGCAGGGATATTGAGATTGTTGATTATTTGAGATGAGTGATGAAATAGTTAGTTACATGACCTTGATTCTTGGCTAAGTATGAGTCTTGTGAGATGTAGGCCGGTTGTATTTCATTTTACACATAGATCGGGATTAATATTTAATTATCTATAATTTGAGACATATGGTATATACATGAGGGTTTCCTTGTTTGGATTATTTCGCTCGACGTACTACGTCTCTTGTTGTAGATTTTTAAGTATTAATTCTATCTAGTGTATGCCCTTGTGATTTGGATGATTAGTCTGATCGCTAGCTGCATGACCTCGTTACCTGATCGATTTTGGATGCTTTATGTTATCATGATTTAGTAGTGTTTTCATGTTGATTTGTGGATTTCAATTGTACGTTCTTTTGTTGTTTCTGTTATCGTATCGTTTTTCGCATTGGATTTTCCGTTCGTTCTATTTTCTTTGTGGGGTCGAGTCTTGCAAGTTAGGAGTCTAGCTTAGTGAGCTATTTTCTTGCATTCGGTTAAACTCTGTAAGGCTATTTAAACAGCCAGTTCTCAATTCAATAAAATATTAAGGCATTTTGCATCCAGTTTCGTGAGTTTAGTGTTTACACAAACCTTTAACTCTACAGGGGGCTCCCGCAAATCCTCAAGTTCTTCATCACTCTCTCCTCCTTCCCCTCTGCCGCCGCCCTGCTTACCACCGCAAACACCACCGCCAGCCTTTCGCTGTGGTACAAAACCCCATCCTCCTCGTCCTCTTTAAACCCTGATTTCTTCGCCTCCCTCGCTATCTCCCTCACTTTTTTTTTGTATATATTATATCCTTTGTTCTCTCGTGCTTCATATCTCCAGCCATAAACGTGTGGTCTCATCGACCTGGCCTGCGTTGCTGCACGCAGTGAGGATTACGAGAAACGTGCACTCACTGGGTACAAAATATTTTCTAAAAACAATTTCGTCAAAATGCTGTCGAGCAGATTCAACGTATCCTTGCGGAGCATAAGCCCCCATCATTTCGGTCCGTGTAACCAAACATGAGTCGGCTATAAACCAATCAAATGTTTTTTGAGCATCGATCACCACTCCTGACTTCCCGCACACAACGATCAGTGCAGTCCCGGCCACAATGTCGTAGTCTGTTCCAGTAACTATAGCGTGTGAATGTATCACTCTCGTCAGCTGAAGCGTAGCCAGATGCGCCGCCGCACACAGAGCGCCGCTGACAATGTACGCTGTCGATGGCACCCTATCGTTTTGATTTATCTTGAAAACCCGAATTGCATCAATGGGTCGATCGTTCTGGGCAAGCCCAACATTGGCAGCAGCATAAGAGTATTCGTTTCTGTGACGAATTTCATTGAACACCTTGAGCACATTATCAGGGAGAGAATTAGTTGCATAGAAATGGACCAAGGCCGAGCTCGAGATAGGGAAACTAGACAAAGAGACCTTCAAAGAGAGTCGCAAACAGAATGAGAATGAGGACGACGAGAAGGTTTTGAGGAGACAGGACACGGTTCCATGATTAGGGAGAGCTCGAAAGCGAAACATTGAGAGAAATATCGAGGAAGAATGGGCCGAGTGGGCCCAGATGATGGACTTCCATAAGACTGCGTTGGGCCTAGAAAGGTGGTGGTTGAAGGGGAGGTGGGCTTATTATTATTATAATAATTATTATGTTGATTACCCACCTCGGAATCGAATCCAAGACTGTGGAAACTATACTGGAACCTCCTAACCGTCCGGATCACCCACGGTAGACAAGGCTAGATTTCTATCTAGGAAGGAGTACTGTGGGGTGATTATATTTGTTTCGCAAGCAATGGAAGAAAAAGAAAAGGATTTTATTTTCCTTTGTAAATCCATTCTTTTCATTAATTTATTTTTTTAATCTGCTCATTCCTAAAGTCAGTGATACTTCCCCATGATCATTTGGACCCTGGGTATCAAACCAGTGGGTGTGGCTAAATGGTACTTTTCAATGCACGGCCTCGGGTATTCTAAAAAATTAAATTCTTGTGGGTATCCCTAGGAGAATCGAACATAAAACCTTGGACTACTATTCATAGCCAGCTTATCAACTCAACTGGTTCCTCTTGGATATTTACACAAAATTTAACGCAAAGTATGTGCTAATACGTTATGAAGTGTGCCGTGCTACTTGTTAAATTGCTTATAGCTGAACTAGTATAATAAAGGGTCAAATATGGAACCAGAATTTAAAAATTAACTAGATAGGGTACCTTTTTTATAAGATTTATGTTGAGTATCTTTGATGCATGGATGATTTTGAAAGCAAGTGGGTGTAAAATAATTCATGAGTAAAATATGTGTTCGAAATTAAAAAGAATAAAATAAAATCATATAGAGGTCTCTCCATAGAATCTATTATCATAAGGGAAGAAGCTAAGGATGATACCTGACATATCGGTAGACATTAGTGGAATTGAAACCTCATGAGAGCACACTTTATAGTGTATTAAATTAGAATTAATGATCGGAATCGTAAAGAAAAAATTTTTAAATCTCAGAAGTATCTCTCTGTTCTACCTCATTAGTAGTTGTTCTAATAAGATTTTGTAATCAACATTAGTGGTATACTGGTATAGTCTACTTCTCGCAGAACCTATGATTTTCTGGACCATCATAGCTCATTTTAGACGTGACTAAATTAACATCCAACGTTTGATGCATTTTTCATTCATCCCCATCTTACATTTATCCCTGCTGTAATTTATGTATGAGAAGAAATATTGTGGTCGATGCTGGACGAACAATTGCGATAGCTCCTTAATTAAGTTTTCCCATAAAAACACAGAACATATATAGGATCTAGGCATGGGCAGAAGCTCAGACTAGGTCACTCTTCTGTTATGGAGGCGGTTATGTATTTGAGCTACTGACTGAATTGATGGAAGGCGATATCAAAGAAATTCAAGCTACTTATGAATGTCCGTCAAATCTTAATTTCGGTTATTTTTCCCTTGAGAGCAATGCATCGATGCCTTCATTTATATTAGCGTTAACGGGTACCCCTAATATCTAATATAGAAGTTTTTGCTTTTGATTGTTTTTTTCCTCTCTCTCTCTCTACTGAATTATCATAACCCCAATCTTTTCGTCTTGCTTACTAGCTCCCTCTCTTTCGTGAATATATACATCATTCTCTTGTGCTTCATGATCTCCGGCTATAAACTTGCGCACTTCGCCTTTTACCTCCATCGAATTAATTCTTTCTTGTTTGGTGAAAAAGAATATAGTTTTGGCCATATCATACTACGTACTAGGCTAAGCCGTCTCTGGGGTTGAGATCAATGAGTCGTTGTGCGACTCTTTGACCCAAATCAACGGCCTGATGAACCGTGCAATCAGATACTAATTTAAGTCATACTGCAGCATTATGCTCGCACGTCATTGATGTTGTAAATTGTTTGGCTTCCTCAACTTCCGCACGCGAGACATTACACCAATCAAGCAATTGTAGTGCGATAGTCTGTAATGCGATTGCATTGTGTCGAGCCAACGTGCGGTCTCGCCAGTCAGCCCTGCGTTGCTGCAGGCAGTAAGGATTGCAGAAAATGTGACCTTGCTGGGGGTGGATTTTTTATCAGCCATTTCATCAAACAATCGCCGCGTGCACATGCATCGATCACGTCACGCAGCCATGTGCAAGCCTCAGCGTTCAGTGTGCCTGAGACGCTATACATGGTCGATGACAACCTATCCCATTATATCAATTCATCTTCAAAATGCGAATTGCATCAATGGATAAATCACTCAGTGCAAGCCCAACAAAAGGTAGCACCATAAGAGAATTGATCCCTTTGATGAATCTCAGCAAATACCCTTAAAAAGAAATACCATTGGTCGGATAGAAATGGACCAAGGCCAACTTGAGAAAGTTCAAGTAGACAAAGAGAGTCAGAAAGAGGCAATGGAGAATACAACTAGTTCTTTCTGTTTTACTCCTTCGTTCCTCATATTTTTGTTATTTTCCAGATAAAGAATATAGTTTTTCCAAGTATAACATAGGCAAAGCTTTCCTGAAACTGAGATAGGTTAGTAATTGTGCGACTCTTCAACCCATATCAAAGGAACCCTGAAACATGCAAACAGATAGTAATATGCACTAAATTCAACATCGGCTCAAATGGTGTTGTGATTATGAATACTTTGCCCTCCTCCAACTTCCCAGCTTCCTCCAACTTCCCCACGAGAGACATTGTGCCGGTCAACCAATTGTGGGATTGTAATGCTCAATGTGTGGCGATAGTTTGTATTGTGAATTCATCGTGCGGAGCCAACTTGAGCTCTAGTCGACAATGCCGTGTTGCTCCTTATAGTGAGGATTGCATGAAACGTGAGCTCACCGGAGACAAAATTTTTTCTAACAAACATTTCACCGAACAGTTGCTGAACACCCTCAGCGTCTCGGACCATGAGTTGCAAGCATCTTGTTCCAAGTAACAAAATTCGAGCATCAATCAGCATTCCAGACTTCAGACAGCTTCAAAGAGAGGTGCCGTAAGTAGGAGAGAGAAGGTTTTGAGAAGAGGAGATGTTCCTAGAGTGGGGAGATCCCGGAGCCTTAATGAGAGAAAAAGGGAAACTAATGAGGGCTTATTTATTGGGACATTTGGGAGGATAATGATGAAGAACTCTAATCTTCCCACTGTTGAGCTTGAGGCGAACACTCCCAACGCTTTCAACCTATATTTTTTCGTTGTTTCCAATGATCACGTCACCAATTTTTTTATACATATTCAATATGTCAAAATACTCTTTGTTGTTTCAAACATGCATACAAGCTACAAAATCTAACATCCAAATGTTGGTTGCATCAGTACTGATACTCTTCGACATCAACTCCACATCTTCATCACAAACAACTATTGAGGAGTCCTCCGTCTTCCCATTTTTCTTGAGGCTTAGCTGCCTAATGCTCTTCAAATCATCTCGTATCTGTAAATATCTAAACTGAATCCGACCCTTCTCAACTCAATAGTAACACTACCTTTCGCTGTCATCTAGGGGCCCGAAATTTTGATCTTCCTCGACAACTGTCACATCTCCCCATACTCTTCCCTTGATTAGAACCTTTAAAACCTAGTGCACTCTCATCACTTCTGGATGCGCTCTCCTTCGCCATCATTCTCTCATAGGAGGGTTGTCACATCATCAAATTTTAAAGTCTGCTCCCTCGCAATTATTGTTTGAACCAACAACTTGTACGACTTTGGCAGGGAAGACAGTAGGAGTAGTGCTTGCTCTTTTTTTTAATCTCTTCATCAATATTCGTAAGTCGATACTAGCTGGTTAAAAACGTTGATGCGGTTTTGAATTGTAGTACTTTCTTCCATCTTCAATGAATAAATCTCCATCCTTATTGCGTGTATGTTGGAAAAAATTGCAATAAAGAGAATGAAAGAAACTTGACTTATATTCCTTCGATCCCGGTTACAATTTGATTACAAAAGAGAGGAGAACGAATTTGATTCTCCCCTTTGTTTAAAACTGGGTTCTTCACGGTAGCGATGGAGTGCCTCCTTCGAATACTTGCGTCGAATTTGCTCTCCGTTGACGATCTGACCGTCTTTTATCTCATGGGAACAATGAACTTCTGTTAAAAGTTTGATAAATAACTCTTAAAGAGTTTTAAGAACTCAGAACGAGTTAGAACTCTGTAACCAGAGTTGTTAAAACCGAAAATTCGGTTAGTGGCCAAGCAAATTTTCTGTTGCTGAAGGATTCCTTTTGATTCGACCCTCTGAATCTGGATTAAATCTTCTGTTTCGAAGAATTTGCTTCTGCTATCTCCAGAGAAAAATCCCAAGCTCCTTATCTCCTTCGGCGGTTTAGATGGTGAAATTCCCACCTCCTTTCTGTTGGGTTTGTTGAGTTTTTTATAGGTGGATAAGAGGCTGTAACTGCCCTCTAAATCCGCTCCTAAGTGGGCGTGATTTCCTCAGATCATGGAAAAACGGTTCTGAAACCGTTCGACTCGTATTTGAATGAGTCAAACGCCCAATTCGGCGTTCAGAACCCTAACCTCGCGTCTTGGAATTGAGACGCGAGGTTGAGTGTTGACTGAACATAAAAAACGTGAGGGCCGCTCGCGTTCGGCTTGTTATAGCTTGGAAATGCGGGGGTCGCCTGTATTTCTAGAATTGTAACGCGGGGATGAATTCTGCGTTTTTAGAAGGGGTTAGTTGATTTGTAACCTCTCCTACAAGCGTTGCAAGGACCGTTGTTCAGTAATCCTAGCTTTAGCTGTTGTGGGGTGTGGAAGTCGTCAGGTTGTAACTTTTACTATAGATTGTGAAAATTGCTGAATAGAGTTTTCATTAGTTGTCGGAAGTGTCGTTGATTTGTAACTCTTCTCGCTCTATGTGAAAAGTCCTCCATTTGCAGCTTTCGTTTGTTGGCATGAAAACTATCTGATCGTAGCTTTTCATTGTTGAAGCTTGATGGGGATCAGCTATCCATTGTGATTTTTAGACAGCTTATACGAATATTTGCCCACAGCTCTCTACCAAGCAACTCACCAACTA